ATGACCTAGGCTTAACATGACCTAGGTTTGGCATGACCTAGGCTTGAGGCAGCAAAGAAGGAACAAAACATGCATACAATACTTAGGCAAATCATATAAGTACAAAACAAGATAGAGATCTTTACTTAGGCAAAACAAGTCAAAATCTGCAAATGCAAGCTTAACAAGACAAAATCATGCAAATGTACATGAACATGACTAGTACATGAACATGGGCTATTACATCCTTCCCCCCTTAAAGAAGTTTGGTCCCCAAACTTAACTTACCTTGTCCCCAAAACAATTCCGAATGTCGGATTCTCATCTCATCTTATCATCTCTAGCCTTTACCTTGGGACAATCCTTAATATGATGACCCATCTCGCCGCATTCAAAACATGCACCAGATGCCCGATGACAAACTCCAAAATGTCGCCTCCCGCAACTTGTACATATCGGCCTGGTGCTACATTCCTGGTTCGTATTGTTGGAACTGTCCACATTTGTCTTCTTCTTGGCATCATGCTGGTCTTGGCGATTGTCATAAGTCTGCCTCTTTTTCTGATTCTCCTCCAAACTCTGACTTCTGTTCAAGTTGGCTTCTGCAAGGATGGCTTTATCTAACACTCCTGCATACGTTGGCATGTTGAGCAAATTAACCCGGTCTTGAATTGATCCACGAAGCCCACTTTCAAACTTTCTAGCCTTCTTATATTCATCGCTGACCATGTGAGGTGCATACCTTGCCAACTCGGTGAAAGCACGATCATATTCAGCCACTGTTTTGCTACCCTGTGTCAACATCTGGAATTCTGTGGTCTTGCGATCTCAGACACTAAGGGGAAAGTGTTTGTCATGAAACAACTCCAAAAATTTGGCCCAAGTTACCTTCTCGGATCATCATCCACCACCTACGAGCGTCGTCTTCCAATGTGAATGCTGCCAATGACACCTTCTGGGCGTCGGTGCTGGGAAAAATCTCGAACAACTTCTCCATTTCAAGAACCCATGCTTCCGCTTTCATCGGCTCTATACCTCCATGGAACTTCGGTGGTTTCATCTTCTTGAATTCTTTGATCAAGGTCAAGGTGTTGTCTCCATACAAAGCTGGTTGCGGCTGCACTTGTGGTACTGGAGGAGGTGGAGGTGGAACTGCATGTCGGCCATCTGTCTGCTCGGCCTGAGTAGACGTGGTACCAGTGTTCTGATTTCTTGCCTGCCTTAACTCGTGTGCCAAACCTTTGACTAGTCTTTCTAATCTGTCTATTCTATCCTCGGAATGATCTCGGCCAACTGGAGGTCTACCCCTTCTCATGATGCTAGAGGTATGCAAAATGTGACTCTTAAACAAAATGAGGAAGTAAACATGCATGCAAGTAATAAATGATCATGCCGAGATGATGCACACCTTGTCAAGTAGCAAGCAACATGATGCAATCCTAACGTCATTCTAAGGGACATCCTATGCTCTTTAGGACTCAAAGTGTGCGAATAACGTATTATAAGGAACACGTGCTCTGATACCATTCTGTCACAACCCCATTCCGCCCCTAGTAGAATGGTGCCGTGATGGCCAGTAATCTGAGATTACCGAAGGCCAACTTTCAAAATTCACACACAATCAGAGTATTACATATGGGGCTAACATGTGCGGAAGCAATATATACAAATCTAATTACTCCATAAGAGCTGTGCATAAGTCAAATGAAACGGCATACATCTTTACATTGCTTTACAACTTGAATATAAGAAAAATAAAATACATATTACATCTTGACTCAAAGGCTTCTCAAGCCGACAGGTTCAAAATACATAAGCTTCAAGATTGCCGACATAACATGCATTCCAAAACATCATGCAAAACACACATCTCGGCGTCACCGCCTTCATGCTAAACACCTACATATGTACATAGAGAGGGTGAGCTTGGATACTCAGTGAATGGTATAAGTAATAAAGGGGTAAATGAATGATTTCCGAAGTCCTTGTCAAAACAATACATATATCATAGCTTGTTCAAAACAAGGGATGAATCAAGTTCATCAATCAAATCTTGGCCTTTCAAATCTTCTTGGGATGTTTAATAACATCTACATAATACTTGGGGTGATGATATTCCTGACAAAACAAACCCACCCGTTCATAGACCGTCGGTGGCCAAACAAGACAAAGCAAGGGAATAATCGATCCGGAATCGATTAGACAAATCCACCCGTTCATAGACCGTCGGTGGGGCCATCCGTTCACAGACCGTCGATGGCAGAGATCTCTCAAACATGGTGCTACATGGGCTTAGAGTCCCCTAGCATGGGAGAACTTTCCAAGAATGTCATCAAAACAAAGCTTATACTTGATACACAAAATAGAGATAATCATTCATGCTTGATTAAATGCTTTTCTGAAACAAAGCAAGGCTTTATCAAAACTTTATAACATAACTTTATTAAAAATACCACTCACATAGTTCTTGGGATGTCGTGATCAAGGCAAAAGTCCAAGTCCTACAAACACGTGGCAAAGTCTATTGAATGCACTCTGAAAAACAAGCTTCACATGAATGCAAATGATCTAGGGAAAACATGCTGGAAACATCTAGGGAAAACATGCTGGAAAACATCTAGGGAAAACATGCTGGGTATATCAAGGGAAAACATGCTGGAAACATCTAGGGAAAACATGTTGGAAAACATCTAGGGAAAACATGCTGGAAACATCTAGGGAAAACATGCTGGGTACCAACCAGGTCCTGGAATGGATGCACAGTAGGCTAAAATGACCTAGCTGGGTGAACGCAGGAGGTCTTGGCCGAGGTCCCACACCTCTTGGCATAGGTGTGGTTACCTAGGCTTCGGTGTGCAGCTCTCTGCTGAGGTGTTACAAGATGCCGGCAAGGGTGTACCATGGTCGGCCAAGATGATGAACATCTCGGCCTAGGTGATGCAGTGGTTAGCCTAGGTGTGCATGCAAGATAGACTAAGGTGCAAGTGATCATGCATGGTAGGCCAAGGTGAGATACGATGCTTGGCCTATGTGTGGGATCTAGGCAAGAGTGGTCTCGGTGATCACACCTAGGGAAATGAGGTCTGGAAATCTGGGTTTCCTCCTTGACAGACATGAAGAACATGAATGCTAAAATCATAACTTGTTATTACGAGATCTGGGATTTCATGACATGAGTTCGAAAACATGGACCTGGGTACCCATACTTGAAAATCATGTGGAAACAAACACAAAAACATGGATCTTGGCATGAGCTTTCGGATCAAAACATGACTTTTCTTGAAGAACACATGAAAACCATTTTCTCTTTCTAAAACCGAACTTCAAAGCAATGCATGGCTTACAAATCATGCTCGATCATGCAATGCAGCTAGATGAACAATAAGAACAACATGAGCAGATCAAGAATCTAACCTTAAAACACGGATCTAACGGTTCGATCTCTAGGGATCAAGCTTGAAAGTCAACTCCTCTCTCAAGAACTCTCTTCCTCTCTTCCTAGAGCTTCTCTCTCCTCAAGAACAAAAACATGACAAATGATACATTTCCCTCTCTGCCGGCTGACTAAACACTCAGCTCGGACATGTGGCGCTACCGGGTTGGTTCTCCTCAAAAAGGTGATTGAAAGACAAGACAAGACTATGACAAAGTGTACTCAACAAGCTAGATGGCAAGGGAACTCCGGCAAGTAATGATCTCGGCTTAGGACATAGGTTTCGGCAAGTAAGGTTCCAATGACCTCGGCTAGGAAGGATAACACTTGACCTAGCTGTGCCACACCTCGGTCAAGGTCATTCCAGTCCCAGAACAAGATCACTAGGTGTAAGGATTAAGGATCTCGGATGCCTAGGTGATAACACCTCGGCCAATATGCCTAGGTGATGGTGGAGGTCACCAAAGTGGTTCCAAGATGGTCCAAGGTGTAAGAGGTTCAAAGGTGTGATCTAGGCTTAAGATGACCTCGGCTTGACATGACCTAGGCTTGGCATGACCTAGGCTTAACATGACCTAGGCTTAACATGACCTAGGCTTAACATGACCTAGGCTTGGCATGACCTAGGCTTGGCATGACCTAGGCTTAGCATGACCTAGGCTTGACATGACCTAGGCTTGGCATGACCTAGGCTTAACATGACCTAGGCTTAACATGACCTATGCTTGAGATAGCAAGGAAGGAACAAAACATGCATACAACACTTAGGCAAATCACATAGGCACAAAATAAGACATGGATCTTTATTTAGGCAAAACAAGTCAAAATCTGCAAATGCAAGCTTAACAAGACAAAATCATGCAAATGTGCATGAACATGACTAAGACATGAATGTGGGTTATTACAACATTAGAGTGTTACGTTTTTGTTCGTAATGTAGGATTTGTTTTCGAATGAGGAAAAATCCAAAACTTTTATGGCGCAATTTGCCTAAATATGCAACTTTACATTTAGAGAAACCCATTTTTATTCCTAAAAAATTAAACCCAAACGTGTAAGTGACTACCTTTTTATGTAATTTTAACGGGACTTTTAAATTCATAAGAAAAAAAAGAGAACTAAACAATTCACAAGATCACATTTTGAGATTTATTAGTTCTTCACACTGCAGGAAATTCAGCTTTTAGTGGTGTTTAAAAAACGCCGTTAATTGTTTTTGTGATGCTTAGCACCCAATGCCAAAGATGCGGCCGTCGCTATAGAGTTGTGACGTTTTAGAAACGTCATTAAATGGTTATAGGTGGTGTTTTAAAAAACGCCGCTAAATGTAATACATAACGTTAAATTGACGTCATGACAACTTTTAGCGACGTTTCAAAGACGTCGTCATAGCTTTTTTTGGATTTTAAAAATATAACCGTTGGCTGTATAATGACGTTTTCAAAAACGCCATTATATCTTTATTTTTTTAATTATTTTTTTGAAATTGTGCTAATTTTATGTGGTTGAACAAAAAAAAAAAATACATGTAATAAAATTGAAAAATAGCACTAATATGAAACAATAACTCATATTCCCATTCAAATGAACATTTGTCAAAAGACAGGCCGATTATTTGAAAAGTTGTCAAGTAGCAAATACAACATTAATTTACTTTCGCATTCAATTTAATATACAATCACCATTAACTACAAAATAACATATCCACAAATCATATTTTAACATTTGCCAAAAAATAATAGGAAAAACATCAAGACAAACCCCATGAGTTTTGACTTAATTTAATGTCTTGTCCTTGTTACTAAATTCACTGAACTCAGCTATATAGCATAGAATATGTAATCTTCACTAGTCTGGATGCCTGCATCAAAATATGGAAGCCAAATTAGGTAAAATGCATAAATCAATAATAGTAGAAGTGTTACAGCTATAAAACATAAGATCTGCATTACAACTCACTTGTTGAAGGACGTTTTGTACCTGGAAAAATAATTTAAATAAATCAGTCATTTCTTAGGCTTTGAAACTACAGAAAAAAGGCAGAAAAAATATTTTAACATGCTTCTATCAAATAGTAATAAGTTTATAATAATTGTGACTTCACAAATCAGCATGATTCTCTGTGTGCGCGCCCGTGCTTTCTGTATACTAATGGACAACCCACATATTGAAATGAATTCATATTCCAATAAGGAATGACAAATTTGATTCTAGTTCAACACGAATATTAAAGCACAAATACTCATGATTCCTTTCATCAATCTGGGCAAGAAAATTTATAATTTGTTTGAATGATGTCCCTAAATAGAGGTAAAAGATGTACTCACTTCATGTTTATCTGTGTCAATACCATTGCAAGAAAGCCAAGTAAAAGTAGGAATTCGGGTCCTTTGCTAGTGCAGACTGTATCTGACCAACAGGCTCAGCTACAGACTAGAACTCCAAAGTTCCAACACAAGTTGAAGCAAGCAAAGGAGTGAAAACCATATGATTCCTTGGCGATATGCAAACATCATATAATTTGGTGTCGAGTCCTTTAAGGAATTGACAAGCTGCCCATCCAGTACCTAGGACGACAACCCCGGGCTTTTTACCCAGTCTTGTAGCTGCTAAAGTAGGATACTTCATAGTCTCACACTCTGAATCAGATTCCACTATAACCTTGTGTGCCTGAGGAAACTGATATTGTGGGGTTACCCTTATGCCCCTGCTCTAGAAATTCATGTGACTTGTCTTTTTGATGCTCGAAAGGCGAGACGATTGCCACATGCTGTGACATTTTCAACCGAAGGTGAGGAACACTTGCTTGTCGACACTGATGATATCTCTCTCGTTTGTGTAATTACCAATGGCACCTCCAGACCGTCTCAAGCCAGTCCTTGCAAACCTTGCTAATGCCATATCAGTAAGTATCGGTTCTTTGAGCAAGGGCTGATACTACCCTTGGGACCTCTTTGAAAAAAATCCAACTCGGTTGATTGGACTGAATTTGCACTGAAATGGTTATTATATGATTTGAATGGGCTACATAAATTTGAAAAGTTGCAAAAGAAAGACAGCTCTATAAAGAGAGTAGTTTAGGACAGTTCAAGCTCTAGTCCAAAGGACATGGCTTAGATACCAAGGGACTAGTAAACAAAACAAACTTTAGCTTTACTCATTAGCTGTTGGTAGAAACAACGAGAAACATCTTTTGCACCAAGTTACCTTTATTCAGGCTTTAGAACAAACAATTAGAGGGCTATAATTTTCAATCTAACAACCCTGTATAAACAACTACTCCATAAAACAATCATTAACTGTTAATTTATAAGAAAGCTATGAATTTCCAACAGATTGGCACCAAATGTACTTGGATGACATTTTATACAGATCAAGCATCAAAGAGCAACAAAACAGAGTCCATGTGCCAAAGAAAAGAACCCTATTAAAATGTTCATAACCAGTTTTGAATGTCTAGTAAAAGCGATTCATAAGTTCTATAAATCAATGACAAATTTGAAATGGAGCATTTTTTTAAAGATTAGGAACAAACCATATATAGAATGGTATAAAGGAAAATCAAAGTGAAAAAGGGTTTATGCCAGATCAAAGAAGCTTGATGAAATATTTCACAATCAAGATTACTATTACATAAACAAAAATTCCACTCTTTGTTTTTTCAGAAAAAATAAAATAAAACTTGAAGAAACAAATCTAGCAACATCATCTATAGCCAAAACCAAGCTCAGACCCACATTATAAATATGAATGAATATTAGTAAAAACTGTTACTGTGTTTTGAATAGGTTCAAACAACAAACATCACATAAATGCATATATATATATATATATATTTCATTTGGGTTACACGAAAAAATATAGAAAAATATATTTTAAGCAGAGAAAGGGGTTCCCTACTTCTATATTGCAAGCAACAGCAGAAGAGTGAAGAAAATCAAACTTCAGAAACAGAGATGCTGCAGACAACAACTGAACCATGATGCCTCATATATCTATAATGCATTTACTGAATCTAAGAATGAATGTAAAACTTGGGTCTGGCCAATTCACAATCAATTTATATTCACCTCATCTATTTAACTTATGCTGGTATAGATTAGTTCTGAATTGAGGTTCTAATTTGAATGATCATAGAGATAACTTTCCAGCATCATGTGTAAAGCTATTTTATATATTTGAAACTTGAGCCAAGTTCCTATACAGCAAAAAGGTTATAAGTTTCAATTCAAAACAAAGTCATATATTGGTCAAAGCTTTCCCTTGTTGTCACTTTTGAGGTAATGGAATCTCCGAACAAACCAGTTTATTCTAAACACTCCCCTTAGAATGAGGTGCTACAAAAAAATTAAAGTAAATTTTTAACAAAAGTTCATTATTACTATGGCATTAGAATTTAGTTAATTGATATTTCGATGCTTCAATTTGAAACAAAGTTATGTGATGCGGTCCCATATGTGAGCCACAAAAGTTGCCGCGTGCTTAAAAAACTATGATATATAGGTTAAAATTGAAGTGTGATTCATGGGCCTGGTCTCTCTGATGATTATAGTGGGCCAAGGAAAATGATGAGTTGTCAGTTATTAGGATTACAAATGAATCCAACTATTCACAAGCTCAGCTCAGTTTGAATTGATTTTTTAAATAAATAAATGAGTTTGAATTAAACTTTTAAGCTCATTTAATAAACAAGTCAAATTCAAGATCAAATAAATGTTCATTATCAAATAAATGTTCATTTATCATATATTTTAATAATAGGATAGGATAAAATATTACTTAAATATTAAATCATATTTTTTCTTCACATGTTTTGATGATATTTGTTTGTAAAAGATAGACAACCAAGATAATTTTAAAAATTAACTATCCTCTTTTTTAGATAAATCAAATAAAATAATGAGTTATGTTTAATGAACTAATATGGATTCTTTCATAGATGATCTTCATGCATAATCAAACAAAATAAACGATTTACAAAATTCATAGTGAGTCTTGCAAGAGCCAAACATCTCTAATCCACGATCCTCTTTATGAATTGAAGAGAAGCCATCTGTTTTTTCTAAACTGAGAATTGATCCGTATAATTTACCCTACTCATATTTGGCAATAATATTAAGAAATAAGTATTTGAGTAATTAAAAAACTTAAAAAAAGGGAAGTAGTCAGTTCAATCTGTCAAATAGAAAAATGAACAATATAAAATAAGCTGAATCAGAAAAGTATATACTAATTATACAGCCAATGCTTGATTAACCAGTTCAATATGAAACATTGTTATAAGCAATTGTGTCAAATGGAAAAAAAAAGAAATATGAGAGAGAAGATTAATTGCATTTAATATTGGTGCTATTATAAAAAAGGCACTAGCATAATAACCCTATAAGCAACAATTCTTTCAAAAGATATAAATGCAGCACATGACCAAAAAGATACTTTCTTTCTATGCTAAACATGTGTACATGAGAACTAAATAAACTGAAAAATGACACGGAACAATAACAGATACACCGCAAAATAGCTAAAGAGTAGAGCTACATTTGCATCCAACCAGTTGTGATACGTACATTATACAAACTACATACCTTGATTGGCTATTCATGTTAGTGCTCCCAGTAGCACAAGCTAATGAACCACGCAATAGAAATGAAGCCATCTGTTCTTTTGTCCTGACCTCTGCCTCCATCACACCAGCAAGTGTTATCCCCCCATTCTTAGTTTCTCTGATTTGGATAGGAACTCTTGCAGGTCCACCAGCAGGCTTTGCTAGAGACACCCCATCTCCTCGGGAAAGAGCTGGTGGGCTTTCATCCAGTAGATCAAATACCTCTTCCTTAAATATCTGCAATAGCACAAATTCATTGGGAAGCAAGTCAACATCCTTATCAGAAGGAATGAACAGAACAGTATAATAAAATCATGCAGAATGACAGAAAATTGGTGCAGATAATCCAAAAAAAGGCACCATGGCCACAACTTATGTTTTAGTTTATTGATGATAAATCTGCTACTCCAAATAAATAGAGAAAAAAGAAATAGAAAAAAAATCAAAATCAATAGAAGATGATCTTGTTGGCTCCATCCACTACCCACATGGTAAGGAGCCCACCATCCACATGGTGTGGGTGGCACCATGTGGTAAAAGAAGCTGGTGGAGGGCAACACCAACTCACTAAAGGAAGATAGTGAGGGTGGCACCACCTTGGCCAATTATGGCTATCACTTCACCTACACCTCCTCTCTTGGTTATAAATTGAGATGAGTGAGGAGGGGTTGTATAGATCAGAAATTGGAGAGTGAGAGCTGTGAGTTGAGTGAGTTTCATCTCCTCTTTTGTATTTGTATTTTGCTCCATTTTAGTGAAAATTCTCATTTCTGTCCGTGGATGTAGGCATTGGGCCGAACCACATAAATATTGTGTTCTCTGTGTGTGTGAGATAATTTTTCTGGGTGTGTTTGATCCTAACAAAGTGGTATCAGAGCTGGTTGAGCCTCTTTCGGAAAAACAGAGTGCATTTTTCGAAAATGCCCAGAAATCAAAGTGGTCGAAATCCACTTTTGATCACACCAGCTTAAAGCCCTCGACAAGACGATCGCAGAGGTGAAAACCACGTCGAAAACGGAGATCGGACGGACACACACGCGCCACACGCGCTTTGTGACGCCGTTCCCACGCGCCCCCACCCTCACATGCGCCTCACGCGCTTCCAGAGGAAGAAGAAGCGTGATTTCACGCGCATACACGGGCCGCACGCGCGCGCGCCAGCCGACGTCATCAGCTAAGCCGAGCCGAATCTGAGCCGTTGACCAAGCCTTCCAGCCGCTGACCAAGCCGATTGAAGCCGAGCTGTTAAGCCGAGCCGGGACGAAGCCAAAGCCGCTGACCGAGCCATTGACTGAGCCGCTGACGTCAGCCCGACGCCAGCCGAACCGGAGAAATAATCTGGTGCTTCTCAGCCGTACCAGATTTTGTCGATCTGAGCCATTCAATCCGTTTTGGCTTGATCTAAGCCATTTGAGGTCCGATTTGGGTGATCCAATAGTGCTTTCCAACTATTTGGAATATTTTGGACACATCCATACGGTCAGATTTTGCAAATAAGCTTTCAAAAAATTTGCCGTCTTTCTTTTGACAATCCGAAGTGTTTTTCCGGCTAATTTGACCAGTCCGGACTCCATAGCAAAACCTGTTTTTCAGCTAGAGATTATTTTTGTATGATGGAGGAATTAACATCGACTTCAGGTTCCATGATAAAGTTAAATGCTTCCAATTATGCCATTTGGAAGCCCAGAATGGAAGATGCCTTGTATTGCCGAGATTTGTTTGACCCCATTAAGCTTAATGGAGTTAAACCACCAACGAAAAAAAACGAAGACTGGAAACGGAAGAACCGAAAGACCATTGGCCAGATCAGACAATGGATTGATCACAGTGTCTTCCATCATGTCGCCCAAGAGACTGATGCCTATGCTCTCTGGACAAAGTTAGAAGGCATGTACCAGTCGAAGACTGCTCGGAACAAAGCCCTCCTGATGAGAAGACTTGTGAATTTGAAGTTGAAAGGCGGTATCTCTGTTTCTGAACACACCAGTGAGTTTCAAAATTTGGTGAACCAACTAACAACTATCAAAATGGAGTTAGATGATGAGATGCAGGCCCTATTGCTGCTCAGTTCTTTGCCAGACAGTTGGGAGACACTGGTGGTGTCCCTCAGCAACTCTGCCCCAGAAGGGAAACTGACCATGAGCATGGTTACAGATGCTTTATTTAGTGAAGAGGCAAGAAAGAAAGAAATGGGTGGAGATCAATCTCATGCCCCCATCACAGAAAATAAAAGCAGAGATAGAGGCAGGGGCAGGAGAAGAAGCAAAAGTAGAGGACACAACAGAGGAAGGTCTCAAGACGGAGGGAAATCCAGAGAAGGTACGAGCCGGCCAAAGTTCAAATGTTACCATTGTGGCCAGGAGGGTCACATAAAGAAGTATTGCTATGCCTTGAAGGGAGAACAACAACAAGGCAATAGACAGCCAAAGACCGAAGATGGGACCACTGCAGTTACTGTCTCAGAAGATATTGCATTATTCTCTGTTGAAGAAGAAGAATGCCTCCATATGTTAGACAACGACACCGAGTGGGTGGTAGATACAGCAGCTTCCTACGACGCTACATCCCAGAAGGAGTTCTTCAGTACGTACCAAGCTGGAGATTTTGGTACAGTGAAAATGGGTAACTCCAGTTTTTCAAAAATTGTGGGAATTGGTGATGTTTATATCCAAACCAAAGTTGGGTGCACGATGGTGTTGAAAGATGTCAGGCATGTTCCCGATTTACGCCTGAATCTTATTTCAGGGATAGCCTTAGATCGACAAGGCTATGAGAACTACTTTGGCAAAGGCATATGGAAGTTGAAAAAGGGATCTCTCGTGGTAGCCAAAGGACAGGCAATTGGCACACTATACAAGACTCATGTGGAGGTGAATTCAAATAGCCTCAACGCAGCAGAAAATGAGACGTCACCAAATTTGTGGCACAAAATGCTGGGTTACATGAGTGAGAAAGGGTTACAGATTTTGGCAAAGAAGTCACTTATTCCCTTTGCCAAAGATGCAAAATTAAATCCTTGTGACAACTGCTTGTTTGGGAAGCATCATAGAGTCACTTTCCATTCATCATCCAGAAGACAATCAGAGTTGTTGAGCAGAGTATACTCTGATGTTTGCGGTCCCATTGAAGTGGAATCTTTGGGTGGTAGAAAATACTTTATGACGTTCATTGATGATGCATCACGGAAGGTATGGGTTTATGTCTTAAAGACCAAAGCTGAGGTGTTCCAGCATTTTCAGACATTCCATGCTATGGTGGAAAGGGAGACTGGAAAGAAGCTGAAATGTCTCCGAACAGACAATGGAGGCGAGTACATGTCAAAGGAATTTAAAGCCTACTGTGCTACTCACGACATCCGGCATGAGAAGACTGTTCCTGGAACCCCAAAACACAATGGTGTAGCCGAGAGAATGAACCGAACCATTGTGGAGAAGGTCAGATGTATGCTCAAAATGGCAAAGCTACCAAAGCCATTTTGGGAAGAAGTTGTTCGTGTTGCTTGCTATTTGATCAACAGATCGCCATCAGTTCCACTGAATTTTCAGATTCCAGAAGAAGTATGGTCTGGAAGGGAGATTTCTTACTCTCACTTGAGAGTGTTTGGGTGCAAAGCATTTGCACATGTATCCAAAGAGCACAGACAGAAGCTGGATGACAAAGCCACTCCATGCATCTTTATTGGCTATGGAGATGAAGAATTTGGATACAGATTGTGGGATCCGAAACACAAAAAGGTCATTCGAAGCCGAGATGTGGTGTTTCAAGAAGGCCAGACCTTTGAAGACTTTGGGCAACCAGCCAAACCCAAAGTTGATGATGTTTCAGAAATTATTCCAAACCCTGCACCATCACAGCATGCCACTGATGAAGAAGAGTTACCGCAGCATGCAGTCAATGATGTAGAGTTGCAGGATGGATTTCTAGAAGAAGAAGATCCAGAAGCAGAGGGTGTTGAGCAGGGGGAGCCACAACCCCCTCTACCAGAGACTGTTGGTCCACAATTACAAAGATCAACAAGAGAATTTAAGCTGTCAACCAAATACCCTACTTCTGAGTATATTTTGCTTACCGATGAGGGGGAGCCAGAAAGTTTTCAAGAAGCTCAAAATCATAAGGAGAAGAGTAGCTGGCAGCAAGCTATGCAAGAAGAGATGCAATCCTTGCAGAAGAATAGACTTATGATTTGGTGAAACTTCCCCAGGGTCGAAAAGCATTGCAGAACAAATGGGTGTTCAAGTTGAAGAAAGATGGTAGCGGAAAGCTAGTCAAGTATAAGGCTCGATTGGTTGTCAAAGGTTTTGGGCAGAAGAAAGGTATTGATTTTGATGAAATCTTCTCGCCAGTTGTGAAAATGACATCCATTCGAGTAGTTTTGGGACTAGCAGCTAGTTTGAATTTGGAACTTGAACAAATGGATGTGAAGACAGCATTTCTCCATGGTGATCTGAAGGAAGAAATTTACATGGAGCAGCCAGAAGGTTTTGAAGTCAAAGGGAAAGAAAACTTAGTCTGCAGATTGAAGAAGAGTCTCTACGGCCTCAAACAAGCGCCGAGATTCTATAAGCTAGTACAGTCATAACACGCTCAAGGGGTAAAATGTTAAAAGTCACATGCAAGAAAGCACAAGCAGCACCAACAGCTACCACCTCTTTACCATGAGCCCCTTCTTCATATGAACCATTGAAATCGAAACACTACAGCAAAAGTTCAGCATGTAGCAAATTGAGGTAGGACACCTCGATTGTAATTTAGTCGTTCCGATAAGAAATAATCACTTAAATTGCAAATTGATTGTAATTTAATCGTTCTTGTTTCTACTTGTGAAGATTGAGCCAAAACTGAAGAATCCTGGTTGTTCCCTATCAACCATGCAATGATAATTATGGTCAAACATGGCTATTTAAGCACAATCCTATAGGAATATAAATAGAACATAGGAATTAACACAGTGCAAAGCTATAGCATTGAATATTTTTGAAATGGAATTACCTCAACATTTCTTAAGCTGAGTGCGCTATCAACATCATCTGTTGTCAACATTTCTTAGCATTGAATATATATATATTAATTATGGGTCCTTGTGAATGTTGACTTGATGTTGTGTAAGATAACTCTTCACAGTTTTCTTCAAATGAAAGTAGAAAATTTAGGAGCCCTTTCACAAAATAAAACGTATCTGTACATAATGCAATAAGGGAAACTGATGACCACAATATTCGAAAAAATAATTAAAAAACATGTAAGAAAAATACCTATATTCACAATGCTCAGGCCATGCACAACGAACTTTTCCATAATCCCAATAACAGTCATCTTCCCTCAAAGGTCACGCTTAGCTGTTCCATGTAAAATTTAAGAGGTAAAACAATTTAATGAAACAAAAAGAACTAAGAAAGAAGAGATCCACCTTTTGTAACAAATTTTGATTTTGAATCAGGATAGTTATCATGCCACATCTCAAGCCACAATTCCCGCATTAGAACTGGAGATCTAACAATGTGCCTGTGATTTGCTACATGAAAGCAATTCCAACTAATTTTAAAGTGCCGTTATGATTGATAAAGAGAAGAAACAAACTAGAGTAAGAAAAGAACTAGATCTATCTATATGGGTCTTAGTTCTTTCCTAATGTTTAAAATTGTGAGGAAACTATAATACGGTCAAATGTTTGTGGGCTGTGGTATAATTTGTAATGCTATTACTCAGATGAAAGGAAGACAGAGAAGCTTTTACAACATTTTTTTCACTATGCTAAGAGAATATCAGCATAAATTGTACTTCATGTTCTTGTGGAATTTAAGCGAGCTAACGTTATTTCAGCAAAGATTATTTCATATTTTTTTTGTTGAATATGACCTTAAAATGCAAAACTTGCTTTCCACAACCCGTGACCTTGAGATGTAGCCATAATTTTTTCTTACTATTTTACTACCCTTGGAGCACAAACCAAAAACTCATTTATTTGGCTATAAGGTTCATTCATCCTGTTTAAGGGAAATGATACATACAATACATGTGAACAGATAAATATGCGTGAAGTGTATAATTGATTGCTAGATACATTTACTTTCTATTAACAAATAACATATTAGATATTAGATAAAATAAAACAATGAAAAGTCTAATATTGCAAACCCAGACATTTTATAACAGAGAATTTTCACTCATTCTCAGCTAAGCATTTCCTTTAAGCCAAGTGTAAGTATTTACTGAGCCTGAAATCCTTTGAAGCCACTGTTGTCCAAAATTGCATACAACAGTTAACGTGATTTGTAAGACATTTTACATACCCTTGTCAAGCTCCCAAACTGCTGTTCTCTTTCCAGGAAGACTGTCAGAGTCTTCATAATAGGTTATGTACTTTATAGTTAACCCAATTGAGCAGTAAGAGACAATTATAAATCTTACGGCCATAAAAAAGTAAAGTTGCAGTCCTTCAGCAGGCCTATTAGCTTATTTCTCATGTTCTCAATGATCCAGGAGTGGTTACTATGTTTTATAGTTTAAGGTCCCAAACTATGAGATATGCTTTCTAGATAGGGCGGAGTGAAGCAGGAGGGTAAGAGAAAATGAAAATGAGCAGAGATGGTTCTAAAACAGCATGTCAAGTTTAAAAAATGAGCATACTAATAAACTAAAGTCAGTTGAAAAATGATCATTCTCCAAAGAGTGACAAAATAAACAATTTATTTTCAAATTACATGAAGCACAAACAAACAATTTACCAAAACAAGTCCAATTATGTTTGTAGGTTGCTCATAGTAGACTGGCACTCTTCTATGCCCTTTCTCCAAAATTAAATTCATCAGCTCCCTATTAGATATCAAGCATCATCATATATATGATCAAAACAAAGTTAAAAAAGACTTCAAGTAAACCTTCTATTCAAAAGTTTTCCAAAGCATGCAACACCTGTCAAGCTTGGCATTGATATCAACAGCAAAAGTGTCAGATATGGGAGTCATGGCATCACTGGCTGTTTTCTCAGTAAGCCCAAGTGCTCCAGCAATAATTGTTGTCTCATCATGTGTGAGTTCTCCACCTTTTCCAGCCTGTTTACAGGTAATCAGAAGACTATCAAGTCACAAGATAAAACAGAAGGAAAAAGAAGCTCTTTGCAATGGAGTTTGAAGTGAAAAATAAAAATGGGATAACATTAACTTCGGGAGACGTTTTTATAGACGAGAAAATTAAAATTCCTGCAAGCAGCACATTTTGTAGGAAAAAGGGAGGAGTATTGGATGGATGTTTTAAGGATTCCTCATTTGGAGACCTTTTTTTTCTTTTGGGTGTGGGTGGGTGGGCAGGAAGGGACATGGGAGGGGGATGGACCAAATTGCATCATAAATAAAATAAAAATAATGTCGTTAGTTCATAATACTTTCACAAATGTGTCTACTTACCTCATTACCATGCAAATCAACTAGTGTTTTCACCATGCTGATTTAACCAGGAAAATTGAAACATCATGATGCGAAAAATAGATTTGAGTTTTCTAAAAGCACTTCTTTAGAAAATGTATCCATGCTACAAGAACATAACTCAAGTTTTCTAATAAGCACTTTTTCTATCAGAACAGATGGGCAGACACATTCAGATGAATTCAGACTAGCATTTATTTATATTAAAAAAATATATAGAATGGCAATTAAACAGAAGAGAGAATACATATAGAACAGAAACTCTTCAACTGCCTTCTCTCTAAGGCTTCCCCCAATTCTTGATCCTTCTCTGCACAAACGAAAATCAACAACCAAATCAACATTGTCCTTTAATAATGAAAATGCTGAAAATGAACCAGATTTTTAGAAGAAAATTTGTCTATCACTACAACTAGATTTATCAGGGTTTTTTTTAACTCCTTCTAAACACTGATTGTAAACCCAAACACAACACTAAAAATATAGAAAATAAATTATTATTTTTAAATATTCTGGGAATAATTACCAATAAATGTAAAAGCGATGATGATCAAGGCTTCAGTCAATGCATCGCCAAAGCCCTAATGCAGGAATCAGGAAGAAGAAGGAGTCATCTCTATATCCCCCCCCTCTCTCTCTCTCTAAAACTCTCAACGTCATCAACTTGAAATGCAAAAAACTCACCGATTTTTCTAGTTCCGTTTTCCATCAAAACAACTTTCAGGAAAGAAAACACATACAGATCTTTCGTAACCATGGGAAATTTCTCTGTACGTTCAATCGAAACATCGAGATCTTCCGTTATCTGTCCAAACTCGACGGGAATGAAGAGTTTGAGAGAGAGAGAGAGAGAGAAAGAGAGAGAGAGAGATAGTGATGCTCACCTTAGTAGACGATGGTGCTCGCTCCCCTCGCTGGTGTAGATGGTGAAGGCGGTGGAGCTTCGAAATCGAGAGAGAAAGAGAGAGAGAACTTCAAAATCAAAATTGAAATCGCCAATCGCTTTGAGATTAGATCTGAGATGAATCACCAATCGCTCTGAGATTGGATCAAACGGGGCTGAAGAAGGTTGATTCGATCGGTTGAGAGAGATTAGGGAATAGAGAGGTTGGGAGAGAGTAAGCGAGTGTTTTGGGTCCTAGGACTAAAAATATAAGACATTTGAAAAAAAGAGAAAGAGAGCGTGGGATAGTTGGACATTTGGAGGCGTTTTAAAATGCCACCTCCAATGAAAACAGTGTCGTTTTATTTTTTAAAAATGTGGCGTTTATCAAACGCCGTTAAATGTAAAAAAAGATGACATTTAGAAAAACGTCGTTAAATCTAACTTTTCTGATAGTGTCACCCTATATTTAATTAGCCCATCACCACTTACCCATCACCACTGTCTTCTACTGCTTGCTTTGTTTTTATTTTTTTATTAGCAAAATGTAAAATTTTATTGATGAAAATTCAATGTACAAAGCAAACCCTGAGATAAATCGCGTATATTTTAGGGATGCTTATGTGTAGGTCCTAATAAGTGAATTTATTGTCTAATAGGTCCTATGAGAAAAATTTGTTATTAAAAAACATCACTAATTGTAAGTTTTAGCGACAATTTATAAAAATCATGACAAAAAAAGTTACTAATTGCCAATTTTTAGCGACATATATAAAAAATTGTCACAAAAAAAATTATTTTTAACGACAATTTTACCAAGACTTATTTTCAATAGGACTTGATAAAAATTAAGTCCAACTATTAGGACCTATTGGTAGTTTACCCTATATTTTTACAGCCCCTTACCCTTGAGTCCTTTCTACCTTCATCGTCGTATCTTGCTCTACAAATTGTGTATATTTCAATATTTTCTAAACTCAAAGTTTTGAAAAAAATAATAATTATAACTCGTAATTGTTGGTTATTTTTCACGCTTCAAAATTAAAAAAATATTATTTAAGCATGCTAGGAAGGATCTGAAATGTCCTTATAGATAATAAATGTCAATTTTTATCAAACGATTGTGTTAAGGTTCTCTTAACCTCAATGAAGAGGACTTTATTGTGTTTGGTTGAAGAAATAAACCAAAACTTTAACTCAAATTAGTAATAGAATACAAGGGAGAGACTGGAGTAGAAATTGCAATTGATTAACTGAATAAATAATTACAAAATATTACCTTTAGTAAGGACAACTTCAATGCTTTTAAACCGACTTGATTTTGGAATCACAAAGCTAATCTACTCCTATGAAATATAATTACGGTGCATAAAAGTAAAGTCCAAAATTTTAAAAATAAATTAAACTGACAAAGACGTAAAGCCTGGATTTGGTCGAAGGTCTCTTCAATATTTGCTTTCATCTATTTATAGCCTTCTCTTAGCACTTTCGAAACAGTTAGGTTGCTATCTTTTACCATAATCTCCTCATTTATCACAACTTCTTAGGGCCATAATCCTCTCTTTGTGTGTGTAACTGCTAATAATTACTCTTTATTAACTCCTCTCATATGCTGCTAATCGTATTTGCTGGTTGAAAAATTGCATTCATAGCTCATGTGGGCCACTTCGAAGGTGGGACTCTTCGGTATCTGAATACCCTTTGCTTGCCACATGTCGCCCTCACACTGGAAGGTTTAAATGGGGCACCAATAATACCCTCCACACTAGTTTAAGCATACTAGTTACACTACTGAACATAACTTTTGGCGGTTGCTCTTCTCTTGTGATCACCACTCCTTAAACGCGGTCTTTATGATCAACTAACTCTACGATCTTTCGGCTTGCACCTTTGGCCTTTTGTATTTAATGAGATTCGAACTAAGAAATAAGACCCATTAGTTTCAAACCATTTGCATTCTGAAATTTTGAAGATCTAACTGGTTTGAACATTGATAGTTTTGATCTATATGATGAAGGTGAAAACAAAGAGAGGCCTGCCAATGCCCATGTGTAGCTCGAATTTTCGCGCTCTTTTCGGAAGAGGAGAAGCCCTACAGTTTAGACTCTACTTGTGGTTTTGAATCTGATTTCACAAGTGCAATGTGAAATAGTGAAAACACAAAAAGAGTCCAAATCCAACAATTCTTTTTGGAAAATTGATGTTTTGAATAAAAATGCAAAGGATGGACTGCTTTGCCAGATTTCAGAGTTACCACCGAAATATTTTTTGGAAATAAAGAATCCAAATCTGGTAATTCTTTTTGGAAAATTGATGTTTTGAATAAAAATGCCAAAGATGGACTGCTTGCCAGATTTCAGAGTCACCACCTAAATATTTTTAGAAAATTTAGGAAACCCGAGACTCGTACCAAAGGCTATTAGTCCGTCATCACCAAAGTGTCTCGACTTGGGAACTTAGGTACCGGGGGGGAAGGACATAGATTGAGCACCCCACTCGCCCCGATCAAAGATTGACCTTTACTAATCATGATGTGTTTTTTTATTTACATTATATACTCTTGTTCCGATTTATTAGGCTAACTTACTATGTGGTGTGCACACGAGGTATAGACTAATTTCCAAGAATTGGAACACTTGATCTCATGTTTTATTTCAAAATTGTTTTGTGAATTTGCCACTTAAAGAAGTGGCCTAAAATGGACATTTGATCAAACCATCCCAGTTCAAGCAACTAGCCTTTATCTACAAACATTCAAACAGTTATATCATTTAAGCAAGTAGCCTTATGGGAGTATGTTTTGACATGGTAACACAAACATTCATGCAATATGCTAATGCTCAAAATAACTTACCTAATACTCCAAGCCAAAACAAAGCAAAGGGATTAGAAAAACATGCATGTTCCTAATTCATGCAATATGACTAATGCAATGCATGCATTATGTATTTTATAGGCTCGGCTATGGACATGGCATATGATTTCATTCAAGACATGCGATAAAGCACGTAGTCAAGCAATGAATTTTGAACATTTGATATCGGGTTAGCATGATGAGCCGAACCTTGGATGCATGCAAGACAAATGGATGCGAAACATGGAGTATGCTAAAAAAAGTAATTTTTCTAAACTAACCATCATAAGCAAGTAAATAAATGGGAGAAAGATGTGGGGTTGAAAGACATATACATTATTACAACATTGCCCTAGCGCAAGAGGGTGCGAATCAGAGTCCAAAAGTCTGAATTTAACTAATTATTACAAAACCAAATGAATAAATAAGCAAGGTTAATTAAGTAGCTACCTATGCTATTACAACAAGGATAACCAAGATAAATAAACTCACTATTTAAACTAATTAAGTACAACGACTACCAAGGGACAATATAATTAACGAGACTAATTACAACAAACAATAGTAAATTAATTAATTACAATGATCATAATGTAAACGAGGATGCACAAGAATTGCATGCATGCACATGTACAATGTTCAAGAATAGCTATGTCTACCCCAAGCTTGCTCTGTTTCACCATTAGCCACTGCTCTCTGTTTTCTGCAAAAATACACTGCTGACTAAACATTGAGGGTCAGCCGGGTCTCAATGAAGCCCGGCCGAGCTAGAGAAGGCCGGTCATGCTTCAATTTTGTGCAAAACTCTGTTTTTGTGTTCTGAAGTGAAAACAATGCAGACAGAGTTGTTCAAGCTCTGTTTGTCCCTACCTTCCTTCTCTATCACGAAAAAGCCTTGAGAGAAGGTTGGAATTGCTTCCAAAGCCATGACTGAGCAAATTGATTACTTGATGATTTCGGATACAATTTTGGACAAAAATCAATGAATGTAATGAATATGACCACTCCTCCCTCTTGTCATAGAGTGAACTCGAAGAGGGAGGTAGAGACGCTTCAAGAATCATCAAAATGCCATGAATTAGCGCATGATCACTCTTGACTCGATAAACTTGGCATAACGTCCGCCCAAGCCTAAGCAAGATAACTCATTTTCTTTATGTGTGTTGGTTGCTTTTAAACCAATTCTTTTAGTCTTTTCCATTCTTTAGTCCATTTGTTCGAAGTGATGATTAAGTCCTCTAAAACGAGAGAAGCGTCAAACGGGAAGTAATTCTTAACATGAAAAAGAGACTACACCATTGGCAACGAACCTCCGTAGAGATTAAGCCATTAAGCGTAAATCGCTAGTTCATGTTTTGAATAACCGTCAACCGATTAAAACAACTCTCAAATGAAAGAGATAAATGGCAAGTTGATTATTAAAATAAGGTTCTTAAACATGGAAATGAGTTGAAGAAAAGCTAGAAAAACATGCAACAAGCTATGTACAAGGACTTATGATACAACAAATGAACTAATCAAAGCTTGAAGTAATTAAATAAATTAGGATAGCCCTAAAACATCCCCTAATATACAAAAAACA